ACATAGTTTACTTTCTTCACTTTGATTTGAAGGCAATCTACAAAACAAGTGGCCTTGGCAATACGCAAGTGGCCATATGATGTCCCCAACAACCACTACTTTACAAAAGCCATATGATTCATGCTTGTCTATTTAACAATTACGCAATTTGTTTTTTTTTTTTTTTTTGATTACTCAGGGTAAATCCCACGGATAGGGTCTCCCCAGTTTTTCAAATGGGCATTAAGCAAGAGGCCCATACCCATGTGACCAAAGAGGTAAAAGTAGCAGTTCTGCGTCTGAGGAGAATCGATCCCTGACCTATACCAACAGAACGACTCTTCCACTAGACTAGAACCACTAACCCACCATCTCTGGTTAATTACGCAATTTGTTTCTATCGTCTTAAGTTTTTAAATTATCATGTTGCAGTAAAATAAAACTAAAACATGGTGAATCGCATCTAATCAAATCTTATAATGCTTGATCGAGTCAAACGTGACAAAAATATATAAAGCTTTTATTTACTTTTTCAAATATTTAATTTATTAACGTGAAAGTAAATCCAAAAAGAGACAAAGAAAAATTGATACGAATCTCTCTTTTTTTTTGTTGCGAGCTACCAAACCTCTAAAGAAACACTTTCGCACATACGTTGAAGAAGATTGAGACAAGAAGGTGTAGTAGTACAGTAGTAGACAGAGACGTATAAAAATGTCACGGTAGCAATTATTATTTATTGGTAAGATTCGAACACATTTTAAATGCTAGATGAGAATTTTTTATTTTGAGGTGATGGTTTAGCTTCAGAGATTTACAGTTTTACAAATGAAAAAAAAAAAACAGCTTATTGTAAATGCGAAAGAAAAATAAAATAATAGTAGGATGAGTGATCTTTCGGAAAGTCTTTGTGTGATATGACGGAAAAAAGCAAAAAAAAAAAACAAAAAAAGATACTATAGGAAAAAACTAACAATCTCTAAAGCTAAGAAGTAAGTATGTATTAGTTTGCAACCATCCAACTAATCATCCAAAGATTTTTTTTTTTTTTTTTTAAACATGATCTTAACAAGTAAGGAATGCAAAAAAATAAAAAGAAGCCAAAAACAAAATTGGTATAACTTCTCCATATCAAATTATACCATATAAAAGTGGAGAATTAACCAGAAACAAAGCCTCTGAACAGCTAGGGTGTCACACACACATATGGGTCAATCAGTATTTGTCATTTAGAATCCAGTAGGAAATTATGGGTTTTAGGCTTTTAGTGTCAATGGTGTCATAACGAGAAAAATGGATATGGGATTTTTAGTTTAGGTTTGGGCATTTATAGAAGGGCCTTAGTCCTATCCCATATTTTCAAAAGAAAAATGTTGATATCTTATAATCTATGATGTTAAACAAATATGGTTTAGATAGGTCAAAGAGAAATGATAGACTCCTCTCGAGTCTCTTAGAAAGTGTTAACTAACAAGTGATGGTTATATATTTTGGTGTTTAAAGAAAATATGCAAAAGTTATAAATCTAATCATTATTAAACATAGGTTACAAAAAAAATTAGTTGTATAACAATTTTTCCTCTGTTTCATAATATAAGATACTAGTCGGTTGCCCGCGCTACGCGCGGGAGTTTATTATGTTGTTTATGAGTAATTGGTTCGTATTTTATTTTCTACTTATTTTTTTCACTATACTATACTTTACTTTTTTAAAACTTAAATTGTGTTTGTATAGAAAAACTATTGAGTTTTAGCTTCATTAGTTGTTGAGAAATTAAGTGTGTATAATATAGCGAAGTGTGGGCGTAAATGGAAGTGCGGTTGAGAATCATTGAGAAACGTGTGCTATTAGGGTTTTTACCAAATATAGATCTAGATGTTAATATTTTAGGCGCTTTTATATGTTGGCATGAAATATGAACATGATTTGTGGGTTTCGGGCGGATTGTTGTATTTTTAATTGTTAACATTATCTCTTTATATATTGTCATAATTTATTATTTTTTGTTTTACGTTTTCCTTTTTTTTGATTTGTCGTACTTTATATCTCGTAATGATCATTTTTATACTATTATATTTTTTTCTGATTTTATGTTTTATATATTTTTTTGTTTTTTCATATGGAACAATTTTTAAATTTAACATATTAGTATAATTTACTTTATTTTTAGTTTATTTCATTTAATAATGTTTTATTTTAATTTTCAATTTTATGAAATATAGTTAATTTTTAATTTTGTTTATTAGTTTAACGTATGTGTTGTATTGGAAACAAATAGTTAAATTCATATTGGAAACTTTTAAATAAATATTATTTTTATTTTTACCTTTTTTATATGTTATAAAAAATAAGAATTCATGTTTCGACCCGACCTATCTCACTTATATTCTCAAAATTTCTTACTTTTTGTTTTATTCCCGTTAAATCCCATTATATTTAGGTTTACATTATGTAAACATAATCATATATATATTTTAAACACTCACTAAAAACTATAATCTATTATTTATATATTTGTTAGTATAATCGATAATTAGTAAGTTTTTTTAACTTTTAAACAATTATCTTTTTTTGTTTTATAATGTATAATATAAAAAAAGACCTTTCATATTTATTTTGGAAAAACTTATTTACATAGGTTTAAATATTAAAATTAAATAATAAAATAGTATAATTAATTTTAAAAATTAAATAATAAAATGAGGTGGATGATGATGTGGCTTAAGGAGAAGAGAGAAAAAGTTAACTTTATATATATAGATTTTGGCTAAAAACACAGAAAGTTCTGAAAAAGGTAATTAATCTCTTTTCTTTACATTAAAAACATAACTTAATATCTACTTATAAATAACGATAAAATTTATCATAAAATTTAAATAGTTACAAAATTGTATAAGCTTAATGTTTGTATAGAAATTTTATTTCAAAACATCTCATATTGTGAAACAAAATAAAATGTCTGAAACACCTTATAAAATGAAACAAAATAATAATAATCATGATTGATAACACACTTTAGAGTTTAATATGAGTAAGATTCATAACTAAATCTAAACACATGGTACTAATTACACTTGAAGACAAGGCACCACAAACACGAACCCTCCATTTAGAAAAAAAGAAAGAAACCCTAATCAACAACACATGTAACTAAGTGGATCTACAACAAGGCCTTAATTACAGTTTTCAGTTTTCTCTTGAACTTATTTCAAACGATCGATAACCCAACCATTTTTATATAAATTAAATAAGGATTAAAAGTAAATCTGTAACATAAACCAAATCCTATATAGTTAAACAGATGAAATCAAATCATTAGTACACTAGCTATAATCACATTGAAAACAGAATCGTATTAGATTTTTTTTTTTTTAATTTCAGTTTGATTTGATTTTTCCTATAAGCAAAAGTTCTACAACCCGAGAAAGGAATGGAGGGTAAAGCCTTGTCGACCTTCACGTGTCCATCTATATTGTTTCTTACCTAAACATATTAGATTTGGAATGATCTTTTACGTCCTCATGTATAGTACTTTGATTCATTGACCCGAACATTAGGTGGGCGTGCACGTATACTCGCATGCTCATAGTCATATGTACACAAAATGATATCTATTTTTATGTATTTACTTGACACTCACACACACTAAATAAATTCTTATGCCATGTATATGTATTTGTAATATATGGAATAATAAAAAATGTTGTGAAGTTGATCAATTTGTACCATACATGCATTGGACAATTTCATGGGAAGACTAGCTAGTTAGTGTTGGGATTATAAAAATATATCTTGAAATTGTCTAGTGGCTTTTCAAACGTATCCTTGGGTGAATTATTACATGTTTGAATTGTCAACTGATATACCAATAATAGAAATTGAAAAATGAAACGAACCAAACCAAAAATGGAAGAATACTCATCTTCATCTCAAATTTCTTAGCTTTCACGTAAAGGGTCACTTGAGTTTTGAGTAACACGAAATTGTAGATTTCAGTGGAAATTGTGGGTGTTGGGTTACTTGGAGATCCACTTCTCTATTCATTAGGACCACCCTTCTCCATTCCTATCGTCACATTTTATTTTTGTGTAGTATTTTAATTACATAGATTAATAGATAGAAGCAAATAGCATTGACCTAGCTATTATATTTTTCTTGTCCCTATACTATACTCATAATTTTCTTTTTATATTAGCCACATAATGTGTTTAAGTGAGATTCTCTAAAAGCTTTCACAAAACATTCTCGTCGGTATACTAAAACGCTCAACGTAACTATGAGTTTATATCTTTCTAAAGTTTCTTACAATAATGGCCCTGTTCGAGTTAAATTTCTTATTAAGATAATTTTTAATAAATTTTCGTAATTTGTATTTAAAAATTCAAATTTAAATAACACTTATTGTGCTAATTAATTTATTTTATGCTTTATTTTTCTCTCGAAACTTTTACTTGTCAATGGCGAAACAAATATGTCTTACCTTTTTTGTTTTAAAAATTACCAAGATATTGGAAAATTGCATGTTATATCACATTTAATTTGTTAGTCAACAGTTTATATATAGTAGTATATTTTTTCTACTATATATATCGATCACCGTGCAAGATTTAATTGTAGTGATCAGTGCCTAGTCAAATTAAGGATCTTCTTCTGGTCAAGTCAAAATGCCAATATATACAATTCAGTGCACGCCTAGTTAATGTTCTTGAACTATAATGGTAATAGTACAATATGAACTTATCAAATTTTAAGCTGTTCTTGAACTCTTTTGATGTACCATACCAAACTAATAATAAAGTAATTAGATAAATAATGTTTAAGTGATACTAGATCTAAGTCTGAATCTACTGTCAAGGACATGTTTAGTGCAGAACGCACAATAACGTACGTGTACATGCCGACGACAAAAAATATATTCTCCACTCACGAAAAAAGTTGACAAGGATAGTTTTGTAATAAAGAGTAATGTTTTGTATATTCATTCATATATACTTTTTTTATATAAAGATGACCTCAAAGTCTTGTTACCATTTGAACAGAACCAAACAAAAAAAAAAAGCTCTCTCCACGCCTCAAAAAGAAGAAGAAGAATCAAACTTTACAACCTTTAGCAACAATGGCGATGGCTTTCAAGATGGTAAGTCTCAAATCTTGTGATTTTTCAAGATTCTTGATCTGACTTTTAAAATAACCTCCGATGATGATGATGATGATGATGGATTGTTCATGCAGGCGACGACGGGGATGCGTGTGACAGACGAGTGTACGAGCTCGTTCATGGAAATGAAATGGAAGAAAGTTCACAGATACATCGTTTTCAAGATCGATGAGAAGTCACGTAAAGTCACCGTCGATAAAGTCGGCGGCGCCGGCGAAAACTACCACGATCTCACCGCTTCTTTGCCTGTCGACGACTGCCGCTACGCCGTCTTCGATTTCGACTTCGTCACCGTCGATAACTGCCGCAAGAGCAAGATCTTCTTCATCTCATGGTTAGTAGTAGTCCAATTCTTTCTTTTACCTTTATTACCCTTTCTTAATGACTTTAATCACACACAAAACCATGGGTAATTTAAGAGCAACATTAGAGGTAGAATGTTAATTTTTGATCTTAACATTAATTTATTATTAATTTTGAAAAAGTAAAGCTTAAGGGTTATAATTTTGTTTTTGGTTTTGAGATGTGTTTATTGGTAGGATTTTAAGTTGGGTATTTTAGAATTTTTTTTTTTAATTAAATAAATTTATAATTTGTAATTTTAGAAAATTTTATAATTATTGCAAATTTAGAATTTGAAAACATACATAAGATATATATATTTATTATAATAAAGAAAGAAAAAAAATTCTTTTTTTTGCATTATATACTTATTATAAAGAGAGAGATAAAGAAAGAAAGAAAAATAAAAAAATGTTTTTTTATTATATATTACTCAATAAAATTGTTTTACAAAAAAAAAAAAAATTTTGGCATATCCAATTAAATCGCGCCACATGGCGCTTCTTAGCCTAAAAATTAGATCTTATGTAAGATCTATTCTTCCTATTATTTTTGTATTTGTCATTATTGATAGTTTCTTAACCAATTTTAGAATTAAGATTTGTTAAGGGCATTTTTATCCATGGTATTTAAAACTAATATTTGCATAAGAAATATATACTTGTTATGCAAATATTAGTTCTAAAATACCATAGATAAAGATGGCCTAACCATTAATGACGATGGCCTAAAATATTGTCGATGTTTAAAAGGGTAAAATGGTAATTGTAATAGGTCGCCGGAGGCGTCGAGGATAAGGGCGAAGATACTGTACGCGACGTCAAAGGCTGGGCTGAGGAGAGTATTGGAAGGGATACACTATGAGCTTCAAGCAACTGATCCGACGGAGATGGGTTTCGATATCATCCAAGACCGTGCCAAATAAAAACTATTATTATTAACACTAAAGAGAGTATTATGATTTGACTCACTTTGTCGATAATTTAACATTAATTAGGTGTTGATTAATGTTTAAATTATTGCGATGGTTAGTGCTTACTTTTTTTTTTTTCTTCGGTCTTACCAGCCAGCACTACCCTTTAATCATGGACGTTTTGTGTCTTTTTTTATTGTGTTGTTTAAAGTATAGTTTTATCTTCTTTTTTTTGTCGGTTAAGCAAAACATAAGCTACGAATTTGTCTTAAGTAACGACATATACATCTATAATTGTAATGAATTGTTAGTTTTCAAGTCCTAATTCGACCTAATTATGGGCGCATGTTTGAGATATTATTGTCTTGTGTATAAAAATATATCATAGATTAGGAATTATTGGGATGTTGAAAGCTGAGATTTGACAACCGTACAGTTGGTAAGAAGATAAACTTGGAGCAAATTAATTTGCCTATGTAGAAGAGATTGGTTCGTCCACCTGCACCGACGTCGACCTTAGTCTTTTTTGTTTTTTTAAGTCAACTAATCTTTTTGCAGTCAAGCCACGGTCCATAAAGAGTAAGAAGATTTAGAAATAGAAATCCTAATTTATATACAAATCCAGTTGCTAATTAAGATTACCAAGAACCAGAACTGCATTAGCAGCTATAGAATTGTTGAAGTAACAGAGAAATTAAGAAGATAAGTAGCAGGACAAAATATTCTCTGGAAACAAACGTGGCGCACATTTGTGAGTCTTTTTCTTTACATGTTAGGTTTTATGTACATAACCCTAATTAACCGATAATTAATTGGAATTTTTCTTATAAAATTACAGTATTTTATTTTTTATAATTTAATGTTAAGTTTATTTCTAGTATTTTATAATATATGCTTTTAACATTTTTAATTTCTTACTTGACAAGATTCAAGCAAATTTTCATTGAGCATATATTATTGTCAAAGGGATCGGACCATTTCTATACTATCCATATGAGATATTGTGAAACTATTTTCCAAAATATAATTTATAATAATTAATAATTAATACAAATAAATAATGTTGATTTGGATCTACGTAGTCCATAGTCTCCTACAAGTTCCCTATACATGTATTTGTTTTTGATTTGGAAATAGACTGATTCAATTATAAAAATTGAAATTGAGCATTTGATTGATTGAATCATCTCATTTTTATAAATTTGAATTATTTGAATTTAGATTTGGATAGTTGTAGCTCAGTTAATGAAAAATTTGCATCCTCCTTATGAGTTACGATAGATGGCGTTTTTAGTTTGGATTTTTATCATGTGTAGTTACTACAGCTTTGTACGCTTGTTTATTTTAGTTTTATTAGTGTTCGCTGTTTTGTTTGCGTTTATCATGTGTAGTTACTACAGGTGTAGTTATCATGTGTAGTTACTACAGGTGGTAGCATAGGTCTCATGGGTTTGGTTTCACAAGCCGTTCATGATGGTGGTCGCCATGTTATTGGGTAACTCTTCATTTCCATTACTCTTTGTTATATCAGTGATTGCTGAATTTGTTTAGATTTAGATTTAGGTCAAGATTTACTCTTTCCTTTTTATGAACTATGATGTGTCACAAGTTATGACTTATGATCTCATTCTTTCATGAATGAATCAGTTAATGTCGTAAGTTATAAGTCAGTCTCATGAACTATGATGTGTCGTTTGTATGAACTTAACTTAATTTCTTCACAGTGCCTTGCAAGGTCGTAGAGCCAGTAACCCTCGTTGACCTAAAATGGAAAAAAGTTGTTGTATATGGGCTGAAGGAGTGAGCCCAAAAGAAGTTTCTGTGTAAAGTGTTGCAGCAACTTGGCGTTGAAGGTCCTATAAAACTGGTTCATGCATGTCTATTACAATAAAGAAACAGAGTAGAGAAGGAAAGTAAAAAAAAAGACAAACATGAAATATAAATATCATCAAAGAAGCAAAAAGGCAAAAACTAATAAGAACCTTAAAAACTTCGACAGTTACTTGGCATACAAGATTCATTCTTTAGTCATGCTCATAATAGGCCAGACCCGACTAGACTCATAATGGAACCATCCGAGTTACAACAACAGAGCTCCGAACCACATGTCTTCCACCATCAAACCAAGTAACTGACCCAAACGCCGCACCTGACTCACCTACCACAAGATTCTTCGTATCCACAGTCACTGTTACAGCATAGGTTACTTTCTTAATGGCTGATGTAAACACCAACCTCGACGGCTTCACAGTCACCGTCACTCCCCTAGGTGACTCTATCCTCGCCATATAAACTGCCTCAGCTTGTCCAACGTTAGTCACTGTCCGGAACAGAGTCTTGCTCAGCAAACCTCTGTTTGAAGTTGGGAACAAAGCCGTGATCGAAGGGTAATTAAGATTACCCGGCGACGGTTTCCTCCTCGGACATCTCACTGGCGTCCTTGTAATAACCTGAATCGTCTTCATCTCGTAGCCAATGGAGCAAAGAAACGCTATATAGTCATCATTAGTTATGTCATAAACAAGACCAGGATCAATAGCCCGACCAAGATTAAGATGACCCGAACCAAAGTCATAAGGTGTCGAACGTTTTCCAGTTGACTCATCTATCAAAGAACGGTTCGAGTTATCCACAAGGCTAGCCGTAGTCATCATAGCTGATCTTATAGATGCAGGACTCCAATCCGGATGAGCCGACTTAAGCAAAGCCGCTGCTCCACTAACATGAGGACAAGCCATAGAAGTACCAGAGAGAATGTTAAACTCTGTTTTCCTACGATCAGTAACTATCCCCGTTGGTCCAACGGCATCAGTCCAAGCCGCTAAGATGTTAACCCCTGGAGCAATCAAGTCAGGTTTTAAAATCTCAGGGTTTAACCCGTTTGGTCCTCGACCAGAGAACGAAGCCACGACAGGAGCAGGTTTAACTCCTATCACCGTCCCTTTAAAATCTATAGTAGCTATAGGATTCATATGAGTTGAAGCGTAGGCTTTGATTCTATCTCCTGCCTTTGATCCTACGTTAGTGGCGGGGATAAGATGAGAATCTCCAACTAAACCTTCACCGTTAGAGACTGTGTTAGCTAGTATCATCCCTACACCTCCTGCTTTCTTCACCACTAGTCCTTTAGCTACTCTAGCGTTGCTTCCACGGTCACAAATAACTATTTTTCCTCTCACAACCTTAGAATCAAGAGAGTTCTCCATACATAAAGAAGCAGCTAACATACCATTCTTCCCCGGATAAACCACTTGCAACATCCGGTTGAGTGGTACACCGGAGTAGAGAGAAACACCTCGGAGACGTTGTCCATCTCCAAGAACAACATCAGCCGGGAAATCTCGATCTATCGTCCCCGCACCGACAGTGGTTATCCACGGCGCTAGGTTAGTAACCGACATCCCATTTGGCCCGTCGTTCCCAGCGGAGGAAGAGACAAAGACTCCCATAGAAGCCGCACCATACGAACCTATAGCTATAGGGTCAAGATAATACGGGGAAGGGATCCCATCTCCTCCTCCTATGGAGATAGAGATAACATCGACTCCATCAGAGACAGCAGCATCGAAAGCAGCGAGGATGTCTGAATCAAGACAGCCAGAGTCTTTCCAACACACTTTGTAAGCAGCTATACGTGCCTTAGGGGCTACACCTTTAGCAACACCAGAAGCGTAGCCAGCCATATTAGCCCTAAAAGCTTGACGACCAGCCGCAGTTGAGGCAGTGTGTGTTCCATGTCCATCAGCGTCACGTGGAGAAAGAAACTCAACGGTTTTATTAATCCCACCGAACATGGCAGCTTGTTGTCCTTTAGAAAAAAACCTAGCGCCGATGATTTTTCTATTACAGTTTCTAGAATCAAACCTAACTCCTGTCTGACAAACACCTCTCCACCGCTTCGGTACCTGTCCAAGATTAAGATCAGAGAAGCTTCTCCGCTCCGGTGTTATTCCAGTGTCTAAAACACCGATGATTACATCAGATCCGTAGTCAGAGTTAGACCAGAGTCCTTTCTGGTTACGTAGACCTAAGAACTGAGGAGAACGAGTAGTGTGAAGTTCACGACGACGATCCTCGAAGACAGCGAGAACCGCAGGGTGGTTACGTAGGGTTTGAGCGTCGTCGGGAGTAACACTTGCGGAGAAGCCATGGAAGACTGTGTCGTAAAGATGGAGGATTCGTGGACCTTGAGTGAACTCTGAAGTGTACCAATGGTAGTGCGTTGAGAAAACTGATGGTTTTAGTCCACTGTCTATGCGGAATATGTAAGTCTTCTTCTCTGTTTGAAAAGAAGTGATCGAAGAACAGAGGAAGAAGAAGAAGAAGAAGAAGAAGAGAAGGGAGATGAGAGAGGCCATTGTGTGTTAGTGGAGGAGATAGTGGAGAGTGTTTGTTTATGGTTTGGAAAAATATAAAGGAAAAATAAAATATTTGTTTACTTTTTTGACTGATTTAATTATTTCACGTCGGTTGAATGATTTATTTTATAATTCGGTGAAGTGAAGCAAAAGTGTGAGTGAAGGAGGATACCAAAGTCATGCTTTTATGAAAATAATGTATAGTTTTTATGAATAGAGAAAAAGCATGATTTGGTTTGATAATTATTGGTTTTGAGTTTTTTTGATTAGAGATAGGCTTTAATTACGGTGATTATTAATGAGAGGAGAGGTGGGTAGTTGTGGATGTATGTATATGATTTTGTCGTGGCAATGAACGAACAAAGACCCGATGACTCGGCTTTTTTCTTTCCCTTTCCTGACTTAATTGTGTAGGGTCGAAAATTCTAAGAAAGGAACCTTAAGTGTGGTTCGTTTTGGATAATGCCCTTGTCAAATCTTATTATGTTGAGGGATTGGGACGTAGAGAGATTATATATGATTCTATTGAAATGAGTGATTTAAAACGAATTGTTTCATAGACGTTCGGGTTTTGGATCGGATTCGGTTCGGATTTTGGATTGGATCGGATTTTTGGATTGGACGTAGAGAAGTATGTAACAAAAGTTGTTTCATACTTATATGTCATGAATGGTATAGTAGTCTAGTAGAAGTTGTTTTCATGCTTTAAAGGTTAAGTAATTTATCTATGACATCTAAACTAATTTTTCATAACTTTATCCCATACTTAAAAAAGAGAGATTTTAGGAAGAATGATACTTTATAAATCTGTATAAGCATAGACTATGTTGAGTATACAAGTTACTTTTAAATCCTCTAGACTCTAGTAACTATAAGGCAGAAATAACAATTTCAAAAACATTATAATGGCATACTATAGCATCATTAAACGTGTTCTGCAAGTTAAGCAAGAGTTGAAATTGAAGATTGACAGAAAAAAAATGGTTTCAACAAAAGCTAATAAGAACAATTATGTTCTAAAGAAACTCTGTAAAAACAAGAATTATCTTCCTAATAAGCATGTTGCCGGATCACTTTGCTTCAAGAAGAGTTGCTCTGTTGAAGTTATTAGCAGATTCAGTGCTCATGTTGAGTTTGGCTCGAAGATGATGCCTCCCTCTCATGCTGCTTTGTTATCTCAGGCATTTCAGAAGATGGAACCTGCAAGCAAAAGAAAGATTGATTTCTAACATGATCAGTGCAAAAGATTCATCAACAATGAACAATGCATTTATAAGTTTAACAGTTAGCTCCTGATCTTACTGCTTGCGAGGGTTCAAACTGTTGCTGTTGGCTGGAAGATGCTCCCACGTCGTGCTGCCTTTCCAGTCGAAGCATTTCAAGATATTGAACCTGCAAAGCAAAAAGATCGGTTTTATAAAACGAATGCTAAAAATTAACCAATGATACAGTTCAGGTTACAGTAAATCCCCTTTCTTACTTGTGTTTTAGCTTGTAAGGCTTCAAGTGTTGCAACAAGCTCTGTTGTGATGAGACTCTTTTTATACTCGCATTGCAAACACTCAGAGGCGAGATTCAAAACTAAAGTAGCATCATCTCTAGAGAACTGTCCCTTCAGATTTGGATCCATCAGCTCAGTAACATCCTTTCCATTGATCATCTCAGGAGCCTAGAATCAGGAGAGTAACAACAACTCAGTAACATGCGGCTTGTGTTGCAAGAAACTGAAAATGAAAGAGAATAACTTACTTGGCTTGGAAGAAATTTGATTCCAGTAAGCAGATTCACAAGGATGGTACCAAATCTATATGTCACACTCTCAGTGTTCACGTTTCCTACAACGAGTTAACATAAACATCATATTCTGATCATAATGAATAGTCTGAAGAGACTAAAGAGAAGCGCAAATTGATTAAGATTACTTTTCGTTCTTCGATCAACATCAACGACCTCCTTCACCAAGCCGAAACTGGATAAACAGGCATCACCATCCTTCAACACATCCATTTGAAAACACAGCTTAGCATCCTTATAAGATCACTCGAGAGAAGGCATAATGCATGATGTAAATGTTCTTTACATACCTTATCAAACAGAACCGAGTAAGCACTTAAGTTACTGTATGATACAAAACCTGCACTATTGCAATAGTCCAATGCTTCGGCTATATGATACGCCACTCGCAACCTCATTGACCAATCCATGTTTTTCTCTATGAATCACAACAACAACCAAACAAAGAACTTCAAAAACAGAGAAGGCTAACAAGTTCTGATTCAATCGATTCTACAATAACACCATCTTTAACACAAATCATCTTTAACATCACAAATTCACAGAAGAAAAAAGAGAGAGAGGGAAGAATCATACGATGGAACAAACGCTGAGCAAGAGTACCATTAGGCATGAACTCTGCAACAAGAAGCGCTTCATCTTCATCAGAGCAATATCCCAACAACTTGACGAGTCTCTTGTGATTTAGCTTCCCAACTTCTTCTGCATCTTCCTGAAAGAAACAGAATCAAACCCATCAATGAACGTCGCAAAAGTGTTAAACTTTAAAGAAAAAGAGAATTTGACGTACGGCGAAGTAGTCAGGATGATCGTAAGGCGTAATCTTGAATCTTTTGACAGCGACAAAGCCAAGATTCTCTGATAAAATCCCTTTGTAAACAACATTGGGAGATTCTTCTGAGTTCTCTGATATGATCTCGTCGGAGCTGAAGTTCTCAGTCGTGAGATCGGAGCGGAAGAACTCTGTGAAAGGCCAGTTTTCGAATCCTTCGTTCTTGACTTCCTCCTCCTTCTTGCTTTCATCATTCTTGCGTTCACCTTGCTGAGTCTGAGGCTGTTGCGGAGTTTGATCGTTCTCTAGAGCCGTCGAGAAGCAACAACCACCCATCGTTTCGTTTTCGCCGGTAAAAACAGAGTATCAAAAGCCGGCAAAAACAGAGTATCAAAAGCGTTCCTTGCGAAAGAGATGAAGAGAGAAAGAGAGAGAGAGAGAGAGCGAGAGAGACCGTTGGGTTTATATAATAAGTTTATTTATTTCTCTATATATAATAACTATAAAAATATAATTTTTATTTCGGTAACCCAAAAAAACAGAATAAAAATTGCATTTTTCTAACTTGGGTTAAAAAAATATAGAAGGAGACATCGTCTTCTAGCTTTGATTATGTCCGTAAATCTATAATTCTCGGAGGATTCGATTCGATTCGATAGATGAAAGGTTCTGGAGTTTTGGCGGCGGCGGCGGCGAGGGTTGGACCGGGGTTGAGGAAGCAAGTATTGAGCTTGACGGACGAAGCTGCTTCTAGGGTTCATCATCTCTTGCAGCAGCGTCAAAAGCCTTTCTTACGATTAGGAGTAAAGGCTCGTGGATGTAACGGCTTGTCTTATACCCTTAATTACGCTGGTACGAGTCTCTTTGGTTTTATCATTTTCTGGGTTGGTTTCAGTTTACAGCCTTTATTGTTGTTTCTTTGATTCTGGGTGGAATCAAGTTTCAGTTTTGAATTTTGTATCTTGTGCTGTGTTTAGTTTCTCTCAATCAAGTTTCAATTTTGGAATATAGATACGAAACTTTGGTAAGAATTGAATTTTTGGGGGTGTTTGTGATGTGTGTTTGGTTTTTGGCTCATTGATGAATGCTATGTATAAGTTCTATGTAGTGATAGAGTCAAATGGTTCTGTGGATGTTTCTTGTTTCATGAGACAAATTCAGGGACACTATAGCTGTATGCATAGGTTCTCTTGAGGTCTTTAGATCGTCGCCACAGTTTCATTGATGGGAAAAGCTGGAAGCATTGCTATGTTCTAAGCGTCCTCTACTTTACAGTGAAACATTCAATGGATGTTACCAAGTTCGGTTTTTATTTTAGGGCATTGATTTTCTGAGTTGTGGTTTGTTCCTATTCCTCTATTTGGTAGCCATGGCGTAAGGAGATATAGATATTAGAATGAGTGAAATTGAAATTTGGGAATGCTTATGATGTCTGTTCAATAGTGATGAATTTGGTAGCATAGTACTAGGAGATATAGATACTAGACTTCGGTAAAATTGAGATTTGGGAGTGTTTATTATGGTGTGTGTTTAATTGTGATGAATCTGGTTTTTGGCTCATTGATGATGTATTAAGTTATATCTAGTTATAGGGTCAAAGAATTCTGTGGATGTTTCTTGTTTTATGAGACGGATACTATAGCTGTATCCTCTATGCATAGGTTCTCTTGAGGTCTTTAGATATTCACCACAGTTTCATTGATGGGAAAAGCTGGATGCTCTGCTATGTCTTTAAAAATTCAATAGATGTTACCAAGTTTAGATTTTTATGTCAGGGCATTGATTTTTTGAGTTTGAATCTGGTGCTGTGTTTTGTTCCTATTCCTATATTTGGTAGCCATGGCGTAAGGAGGTAGAGATATTAGAATTAGTGAATTTGAAATTTGGAAATGGTTATGTTGTCTGTTCAATAGTGATGAATTTGATCCTTTTGACTCATCGATGGTTGCTATGTGTTAAGTTCTATCTAGTTAATAGTTAGAGAGTCCATGATTTGTGGATGTTTCTTGTCTTATGAGACAAATTCAAAGTCAGTATAGCTGAATGTATAAGTTCTCTTAAGGTTTCGGGATCTTTGCCGCAGGTTTATACTCTAGTTTTTAGCTCATTGATAAAAAGCCATATGCATTTCTCTGTTTCAAGTGCTATCTAGTTTACAGTATAACATTCAGCGAAGGTTTATTGACTTTAAGTGTCTAGATGTTCACCTCATATTTGGTAGATCCACTTGAGTTCTCAAACTTGATTGTTAGATCTGTAACATTTTCTGTTCTCAAACTTATGCGTAACATCTTGTTGTTCCGTAAATTTTCATGTTCTCAAACTTTTGGTCGTTAGGTTCACATTCAGTTTGTTTTCTTCATATAAGTATGCTGAATGGGCAAAAACCGCAAAAGTACTAGACTAGCCAACAAAGCTGTGTACATGAGTATTTATGGTTGAAAGTGTTATGATGTACTGAAGCCTCTGTTCTCATATCATCTAATGCACAATTTTTCAATCTTTTTATATATAATTGTCAAAGTTGCGTGCTGTTGATCGTGTGTCTTGAGCCTTTGTTTATATACCTTTCTTTGCGAGTGGCTGTTTCAGATGAGAAAGGGAAATTTGATGAGCTGGTAGAGGAGAAAGGTGTGAGGATACTTGTAGAACCAAAGGCCTTAATGCATGTGATTGGAACCAAGATGGATTTTGTAGATGATAAACTCAGGTTTAGACCCTTCTATCACATTACAAACGCAAAGTCTGTTATTCATACTTCTTCTCTATATATTTAACCATGTTTTATGTTATTTGCAGATCAGAGTTTGTATTCATCAATCCTAACTCGCAAGGGCAATGCGGGTGTGGTGAGTCGTTTATGACAACATCTACCTCTAGTGGTAAGCAGAGTGCTGGTTAGCACTCAGTGATACATTGCAATGTGTTGTTGAAGAGTCTTCAGTGAAGACATAGACGGGCTTTGATTGGTCTAGTCCGTTTGAAAGTGTATACAACATTCTTGTTTTTGGTTTTATTATAGGTTTACACATCTGACTGGTTTCGACTAAAACCAAAACCAGAATTGTATTTCAAAACGAGGACTCAGAAAGTCAGAATCAGGTTGTATCAAAATAAAGAGTGTTTAGTTTGGACAAACTTATATGATCTAAACCTAATCCATCAAATGATTTCAGAAATGTAACTACATATATATATCAATATTGTATTATTGGATTCAATTTTTTCTAAAGTAAAGAAATAACTATTCTGAATTTGACTGAATCAATAAAGAAGAATCTGAAGCCTAGTTTTTCTTATATATAAGCTGAAACCAAAACCATACAAAACTATGTTTAATTGGAGATTCGAAAACCGGAAAAACCCAATCCGAAATGCTTAACCGTAAAATCCAAACCGAAACCGAGCCAAAATTTTCAATTCAACAAATCTACCATAAGCCGATCGAAACCTGAGTGTTTAAGTAAAGAGGATAGGCTCAAGGCTCTAGAACCATGATTAGAGATTTAGATCATTGGATGTATATTAGTCTCACTGTCTCAGATTACGGTATGATTAGAACCTTAAACTAAAGACATATAGACGAATCATGTATTACATTAACTAACAAACAAAAACTTATCAGATCTTCGAGAAACTGCACCTAACACATTTGGAAAAAGGTAATAATGCTAAAACAACTAAATAAAGGTTATAAAGTGGATTAAGAATTTGGTGTAAACGCATGTGATGACCCTTCTTTGAAGCATCATGCTCGTCACACGTTTACTCTTCTTTTAGTCCCTACTTATTTAAACATATGATAATGCATCTAATTTTCAACCTTGGAATATAACTCTAATTTGTGTATCGTAAGTTTAGTTATTCACTATTTTAAATTCGAATTTGATAACGCAACGACGCCATTAACATTATGTTCTATCTTTTTAATAGGAAAAATTTGAGCTATTATTACAATTTCAATGAGCAAAAATAATATCCATATCCGATTTTATATCAAAATTTTGAACGTAGACGTATGGTGTAGATCGAATAGTATATAAAATTTATATTATTTCATTCACGTCATATTCTAACTTATTTTATACCGCAAATTGACTAAGTCATGATTTTAATTAAGTCTACGGTTATACCCTATTTACCCGATTTTGTTTATGAAAATTTTCGTAACTGCCATCCGATCCGATGGATGTCATTAATGCACATTTTGGTTTGTAAGTTTCATTGCGATAAATGGACCTGCATATCTAAATTGACATCTCCCACAATCCTTAGTCAACCTCTTCGTGTGATCAAAATTGTCATGTTGATCCTTGATTATGTGTAACCTAAACCTATGGCATCTAGGCACTCTGATTTTTACATACTGTTCATGTGATGTAGTTTGAAAAGGTCCTATGTATGTACCCAATTGAAATATTTAAATTATTCTAATTAAACTATAATAAATTTTTCATTTTGCTAAAATCCAAAGAATCCAAGATATGATCAATGAAAAAGTCTTTATTTAAAGTATATGTGTAGTAATGAGTTGAAACATGTACCATCCCAACCACTTCAATCGTTCTCACACTTCTCATCCTCACACAACTTATCACTTCCTTGGAAAAAAAAATCTCAACCTTTCTAGAAGTGAACATATAAGGAAAATAAGTAAATAGTAACTTATTTTTTTCTAAGACCAAAATCCTAAATAATTTCTATTCACAACTAACTATATATATATATATATATATATATATATTTTCATTTATAATGTTCACTTATGGCCAACCACCACTAAAGTTAGAAAGTTATAGAATGGCTTTTGTAACCACTAGGATGATTACTAATTGTTAATTTTGTGTTTTAAATCTTATGTGAGAGAGCTAAGTCTCTATAATAACCACTAGGATGATTACTAATGGTTAATTTTGTGTTTTAAATCTTGATTGAGAGAGCTAAGTCTCTATAATGCCCTGATGGCAAATACATGTGTGGTGTGGATCTTTATCAAAAATGCACATCAATCTCATATGAACACAGTCTCTAGATGGAGATAGAGACTTAAACCTTTACCAACTAATTACTAGTTCATACCTATCATAACCTGTCTACTTACCAAATACTTGTTACAAAACAACTGAACTCAAACTCAAACTAAGTTTATAGGATTGCATTAACAAATGAGACAATAAATCTGATTTTTGAAAATTTCAAGTTAATATACAAGAGTTGGGAGATAAGATAAAACAAAGATGGAAGTAAAAAAGTAAAAAATTATCATTCTCTATTCATTTATTTCATCTCCAAGCTTCGAAAATCCAAAACTCTTGTCTTCAAACCCAAGAAGTCATAACCAACACCAATACTACTACTAATATCAACTGAAGAAGAAGAATAGCTTATGCTACTACTATCCTCTGTCTGACATTTCGCAGTTTCACTACTACACTCCGTGCCGTTTTCCATGTAAAAACGTGACGCAGTGTAAGGAGATCTTTCTTTATGGTTTTGCTTTTGCCATGGTGGACTGATCTTAAGCTCAAGATTCAAATCTGTGCACATTTCTTCTTCAACAACAACTGGGTAGTACTCAACGATCTCTTCTTTACAAGATAAACCATTTAGATTCTTTCTACTTTGCTTCTGGTCCTCGGACTTTTCTGTTTTCTCAAACTTAGACACAAAAGAAACATCTTTTACAAATTTTTCCTCTGTTTTCGCCTCGTTGATCGCTCTATGAGTAGATGGATCGATCCCTTTACTCAAAAGCTTCCTCTTTATATGTGTGTTCCAGTAATTCTTGATCTCGTTATCTGTTCTTCCAGGTAATCTCGCCGCAATTAAAGACCACCTGATACAAGAAACAGAACATAAGTTTCAAGAAACAGAGCATAAACTTCAAGAAACAGAGCAAAACCTTCAAGAAACAGAGCATAAAGGGACTTACTTGTTGCCAAGGAGACTATGAAGCTTAATAATAAGTTCATCTTCATCACGTGTGAAGTTTCCTCTTTTGAGATCAGGTCGAAGATAGTTAATCCACCTGAGACGACAGCTTTTACCACAACGGAGGAGACCAGCAGCTCTAGGAAGAGATCTCCAACAGCCTTCGCCATGAGACTTGATGTAAGAGACAAGTCTCTCGTCTTCTTCTTTAGTCCAAGCACCTTTGTTCATGTGTTCTTTCTCACAACAAGGAGACCTCCCCATAGCTTTCTTCTTCTTCTTGTGAAGATGAAGATGAAGATGAAGATGATGATGATGTTGCTTTTGATTCTGTTGTTGAGGGTTTTATGGAGAGAGAGAGAGGGAAGGTTGGAGGTGGAAGGTGAGCCTAATTGGCTTCTAGAAGAGAGTTGGTAGGACACGTTTGAAGGAGTGGCTGGTGGGGCTCTTCTTCATCTTCTTATTATTATTACATTTTGGTTTGTTTAATACTTTATTTTACATCAAACTATAACTGCCACATTCACATTTTTATTCACTATTTTTTTTTTCTCCTTCAATGCATTTCTCAATACCATTCATTGTTCACAACTTTTTTTTTTCCTTGTGAATCCATCAAATTTCAAAATGAAATGCTAAAACAATTTGCGGCTAAACTATACAAAACCATCATGTTTTAACTATTAGTAATGGTTTTAATGTTTAAGCATTTGTAAATTTTTGTTTTCATTGTGGCAAGTGTAGCTATTGTGCTGAACATGATATTCTTTCTAACAAAAAAAACAATAAAAAAAAATTTAGTGAAAAGGTAAAATTTATTCAAACAAAAACCTCGTTATAATATACACATTCTTATTCTTAATAGAGTTTAAAATATATTATCGAACTTGTTTAAAGTAAAATAAAGAAGGGTTTAAATTTTTTATTTAAACACTCTTTTACATTTGCGCATACGAATTATCATTTTTAAAAAGTGTTAATAGTTCATTGCACCTTTTTAAAATTTTAAACATAAATATAATATTGTATGGGAAATGAAAAGAAAAATGTAGTCCTAGTCATTTGATGATCTACATAAATATTGACTCAACCAAAACAAATGAATCACACAAGAGTACAAGCTTTCTGATTAGTTTAATTGTTATTTGATAATACATACTTAAACCCTAAAAGAAAATTAGCAAATCCCTATTTTTATTCCAAAATCCAAAAATAATCAAACTTTGGCAAAGTTCTCACAACCTAGTCAAAATATGTGAACACCATTACACCGTTGAAATTACAACTTTTAATAATTGCAACCACGTGTCACCGATTTTTACCTTCAAAACATATTAAACACACAAATACAAACAAACAAATAAATACACACAAAAAAAAAAAAAATGAAGAAGTGGGTGTTCTAGAATATCAATGTTTGTACCAAACTCATATACATCACTATCATCTTGTTGGAGACATGACAAGGCCTATGTGCCCATACGTGACGCCTTGTGGGATGAATAGTCTAACTTCATTAAAATACAAAACTATTTATTTATCAACTCTTCATTTTTTTTCTTCATTTAAATGATTGATTGATGGTTAAAAATGTTTGTTGGATGAAAAAGTTAAGTTTTTATTTAAATTTATTTGGTTGCGTTTTTAGGTTGCTTGTTCTAGTATTGTTTTACTAATTTAATGACATTTGTTAGGAGTTAGGACAAGGCTTGATTGATAAGTTAAATTAAGCTCTTCAATATTTATATCTACTAAGTTAGTACCTTTGATACCTAAAAGATAAACCTATAGTTTATGCATATATGATGATATACGTAATACGTCCGCATGTATAAACTAATGTCTTAACATGTTTAATATAGAATTTTTTCATATTGTTGCTTGACATGTGTGGTGATTATTGATTCTTTCATCAGAGAAAAGAGTCGATCAAAATCCTGATCAATGAGAAAGTTGCTAGCTCAAGAGATGTCCAAACCAAACGTGCATGATCAAGAAACCCCCCCAAGAATGTCTTGCTCATAGTGTCCATACCCCTTAGAATTAGATACGAGAAATATTACATAGTTGCAAGAAAAAAGTAAAATGGTTCGAGTATGCAATTAGGTTCATTGTAATTAGTTAAGGTCTAATAGTGGTTTGAAACGAAGGAGGTCACGTCCCATTACAATGTACAAAGACATATATGCAACATACACCGATCATTTTTTTAAAAGTTGTTCTAACTACTTTTTTTCTAATTACCATACTAAACCTCTTCACTTTCATGTGTGTTTTATGTCTACAATCTGAATCTGTTCTTACCCAAAAGTAAATGATCTGAACACTAAATATTGATACTTCAACAAAAAAGAGAGGGGTAAAATACACTTAATAAACACAAATAGGCATGCGCGTAATATTTCGTATCCAAAAATTTGAACCGAAAAAATAAAATCGAAATTAGAAATAACGAACGTATTATTTATGTGAAAAGATGGAATCTGAATCCGATCCGAATTAAAAACCAAATGGATACCCGAATTATCTGAAATATAATAATTTATCCAAAATTACAATTATAAATCCAAAATATCAATTAAATGACTAAAATCCCCAAAAATTTATTATATTTGTCATACAACCAAAACCAAACCGAATCCGAGTTGAACCAAACTGAATCCGAACCAAAATTCTAAAATATTTGAATTAATATTAAAATCAAGATCCAAAATATGCAAAAACTGAAATATCCGAACCGAAATCCGAATGCCCATTCTACACAAATGTGAAAGTAGCAAATCAATGAAAGAGTACATAATAAATACTAGACTGATCCAGAATGCATACAAATATTATCCTAAACATTAGAAAATTAAAAAAAAAAAAAGGAGAAAAATAAAATAAGGAGATAATAAAACCAAAAAAAGTCTAAGGAAGTTTCGTACCTAACAATACCAACCATGTCTAAGTCCTCGATAGGGTTCGGTTTCAGGTGAGTCCCACTTGTTGTGTCTGTAAGGTGTGGTGGTTACTTTTTCACCAATCTTATTGTATCCTTTATTGCCTACTTTATCAATTCTAGTACTTAACGTAGAGTATGAGGCAACCATATATCTCGAAATTTGGGGTTTTCCCAAAGTAAACCACTTGATGACCTTCAGATCAATTTCTAAACCAATCCTAATCGTGACTGTAATAAACCAAAGTAGAAGACATGATTTCTAGTACTGGACCAAACCGATTCAATAAGAACTGAACCAATTCGTACCAATTCCAATTATATGTCCGGTTAAGATCCGAATCATCTACATACCGATGAACGAACCGATCCATAGTAGATTCGTGTTTTTTACAATGTTTCGTTTTGCAACAAAACCCAAGATTAGAGGAATCGTTTCTTACTCTCATTTATTTACTTCATCCTTTTGCGGACTTCATTGAAGCAGCCAAAGGCCACAACAGTAGCAGCAACGACTACGACTCCGAGCTGTGAGAGTTTTAATTCGAAAGTTATCATCCACTGAGTTTCCTTATTAGTGACTGAAGCCGTTGGTGTGAACCCGAGCTCTGAGAGTTTCTTGTGTGACTCTGCATAGTCTCTAAAGAATGCATCTTCGTCCTGTTGGAACAAATATTAGAAACTTATGCTTGTTGAAACAAAAAACTTATACTTGTTGCAATACAATAATCTTAGGCTTGTCTTTTATGAAACTCGATTTGCAGCTCTGGTTAATTGCTCAAATCGGTTTCTTGGATCAGAATAATACCTTTGCGTAAAGCTCAACATAACGACGGAACTCTGGGACATCCAACAAAGTCTCATCCGTGGAAAGTTTCAGCAAACCTTCTGATCCTTCTCCTTTCAGCAATTCCCTATGACAAACATATATCATATAAATAAACAATTCAGTGATCAGTCAGAGGAACTATTTGTTGTCTCCAACAAAAAATATTGTCAATGACATTAGAGGATCTTACACAAAGTATGAGTTATCAAACTTCAGAGGATCTCGAGTCCATGGTCCATCAAAACCTGATCTCTCTAAATGAGCCCTTCCCTAAACATTAATTGAAATCTAATTAGAAAAACTATACACAACTTATTTGTTAAAATACCAAACGACAAGTATGAATTGTGGAACAAAGAATGTACCAGAGTATGAGCCCCTGAGAGTGCCACAATATCTTTATCAGACAGTCCCATCCGGTAGAAGACATCTTTAAGATGTTTGAAACCTACATGTAAATCAGAAGACATAACTTCAAACTCTCATTGAGGTCAAAGAACACATTCGAACAGAAGATTATACTGTACAGTGATTATTTGCTATACTCATATTCAATAAATTAGGTATTTTGTTTTATGTAAAACACATTGGAGTTTCTGGTTAATGGAAAAAGATTTCCATCCAACCTTGATTAGCATCAGGGAGCCTTCCTTCCTCGGTGCAGGCATTTGAATCCTATAAGAGAGAAACATACAATTAATCAGTAATTGCATTTGGTGGTAAGCTTTTATACCATCTTAATGGTTTAGAGATTATTACTTTTCTGCCAGGCACAAAACTGATGTCAGGTCCACCAGTAACTTCAACCGCTACCACACCCGCAAGCTGAAAAATGACAGAATGAATTTCATGTGAAAATGAATGAGAGATCCAAAACTTAGCTATAAGATAATAGCAGCCGTATTGGGAATTTGTTCTGGTCATTCTCAACAACCCAAGCCTTTACATTAGATTTGTTAAAGCCAGAGAACACAAAAGAGACCATAAGTACTAATCTGTGTAAAAGAATCTTCACACTGTGAATCAGCCAAATATATCAACCCTGAAGCGCTGCAAATTGTCAATTCCCTAATTTCTATACCCTGAGGACCGCAATCGCTCAACTAGCCAACACCACTGATGAATTTCTGAGACACAACACAACTACTAAAAAATCCTTGAAAAATCTGAATGAAGAGGTAAAAACAAGGTCCGTGAGAAATTATACTGCCAACACAACTGAACAAAAGGGATATCACACTGATCATTTTTACACTCTTCATTCCAGTAGAAAAACTGCTAAAGTTCAAGTTAGTTACCTGGTAAAGATCCGCATAAGTGATTTTGGGATGTTTAGTCTTCACTTCCTCTGAAATAACAATGATTCAACAATGATATTCAAAACAAGAAGTAAGATTGTTCTCAAAAAGTTCCTCAGGTCACTAGACAAATTGATTCAACACACAGTAGCAAATTTAACATGTGAAGCTTCTCATAAATCCTCAGAACCACTAGTAGAACGATCTGTCACAAGTAAATCAGTATATTCCAGCAAAAATATAGCCAACACATAATCATCAGCTCTAGGTCTATGTATAAAGCGATTAAGTTTATACTTGGAAAGATTTCAAAATGTGATAGATCTCGTCGTCACCCATGAACAAATTGAGTGTAAAGACAAGCTAAGAAACAGAATCCCCAAAACGAAGTACTCAATCACAGAATCTAAACTCCAAACCCTAATCCACGGAAAAGGAAAAACGAGAATAACGCACCACAGAGATCAATAGCGATCTTCAAACCACTATTAGCACCATGACTATACTCTTCTTCGTTCCTAATCGAGCCATTAGGTCCACCAGTCTTCGATTCAGCATCATAGGTTCCAGCGTCATGCCACCTTCTCACAAAACCAGAGAGAACACAACATGAAAATCGCACAACATCGCGAGATTTTTCAAGTTCGTAGCACTCAAATATCAGAGAAATCGAACACGGAAAATGGAAACTTACGCCAATCGGAGCATGATCGGAGCACAATTCTTGTTAGCGATGAGAGCACGGAGCTCACGGCGAGCTTTGTCGATCTCCTTAAGGTAAACCGCGTCACCCACGAGTTCCGCCATTGTTGTTACTCTGGAGTCTGAGAGAGGGGTTTTCAAGGGAAGACGGAAAAAATTTATTTTCGCGGCAATTAAATTTTCGATTAAAAATGGCAATTTATTGAATCTTTTTAAATAGCTTACCAATTTTGATTGAGTTTAATAAAAAAAGCTTACTAACGAGTAACGAGTGTTGACCTGAGGGCTGAGTTGACCAATTTTTTCCTAATGTTTTTAAAACCTTTTAATTATTAACTATTATTTAATTATTTTTTTGCAACTTTTAAATTGAAGAAGACAACCAAACCATCGTTATTGAGGTCTTAAGTTAAGATTTGCTAAAAAATAGTTTTTATATTTTTAATTAAGCTAAAATTTGTTTTAAAAACTCTCAATAATGATGATTTTAATATATCGAGTAAAAAAATGTAAATATTTTAATAGATATAAAATACAATTTTAAATGAATAAACGCAAATTTTTTAAAAAAACCACCGTTAAATTTATAAAAATAAAAGAATTATTTCACAAAAATTTACGTCGGGTATTTATTCAGATTATATAATTATTATTATTATGTAGATTCCAAGTAAAAATGAAAATAAATATTTATACCATGTAAGTTGAAATTTTTTTATTTTATTTTATGAACCGATGTAACACTTATTTTTATTGACGAACTGTTGCAACTTTGGTATATTTTTAATATATGATCGCATCTCTACATATAAAAATATAACAATTTTATTAAAAAAATGATTCCCGCTCTGATGTTTAGGCGTTTAGCAAACAAGCGAAGAAGCTTCTTCGTCCCTCCTTATCAAAAGCCAAAAAGTCAATGGTGAATAAGCCTTTTCTGTTTTCTATTTTCATTTTTCTTCATGGCTCATCTATTTGATCTTGAACTATCTCATCTCATGAATTCTTCTTCTTCTTCTTCTTCTTCTTCTTCGGTTGGCACTATGAGATACCGAGTCTTTGCGAGCTTCCATGGCCCTGACGTCCGCAAAACATTTCTAAGTCATTTGCGTAAACAATTTAAAGATAACGCGATTACGATGTTCGATGATCAAGGGATAGAGAGAAGCCAACAAATTTCCCCTTCACTCATGCAAGCGATTAGGGAATCGAAGATATCGATTGTTGTGCTCTCGAAGAACTATGCTTCTTCCAAGTGGTGTTTGGATGAGTTGGTAGAGATTTTGAAGTGCAAGGAAGATCTAGGACAAATAGTGATGACGATATTCTACGACGTAGATCCATCTGATGTGCGGAAACAAACCCGAGAATTTGGAAGCGTTTTCAAGAGAACATGTGCTTGTAAATCGAAGGAGGAGTCAGAAAAGTGGAGTAAAGCTTTGAATGATGTTGGTAACATAGCCGGAGAACACTTGCTAAACTGGTTGGTTCTTAACTAAAGTTTAGTTTGGTTTCTTAGTTATGTTCTAAGTGCGTAGTAATAGAATAGGGGAATTAATGTGATCTGAATCATTACAAAAAGGAGAGTTCCTAATGACTCATGGCATGTTTTTGTTGAATGATTATTACAATTATGTAGAGATTTCTTAGGAGAAAAGAATTAAAATTTTAATAATCCCTATGATTTGTCTTCTCATGAAACATTTTTTTTTTGGGTTAGGGACACTGAAGCGAACATGATTGAAAAGATTGCAAGAGATGTTTTAAAGAAATTAAATGCTTCACAATCATGGGATTTCGATGGCATGGTGGGATTAGAAGCTCATTTGAGAGAAGTTGAGTCTTTGTTACATTTAGCTTATGTTGGAGTTAAGATTGTTGGAATCTATGGTCCTGCAGGGATTGGTAAGACGACCATTGCCAGAGCTTTACAGAGTCGACTCTCTAATAGGTTTCAACTTACTTGTTTCATGGACAATAACAGTAAGGGGAGGTGTCATCAGAGTGGTCTTGATGAGTATGGTGAGAAGCTGCATTTACAAGAACAATTTCTTTCAAAGGTTTTGAACCAAAGTGGTATCAAGATATGCCATTTAGGTGCAATAAAAGAAAATCTAAGCGACCAGAAAGTGTTTATCATTCTTGATGATGTGAACAATCTAAAGCAATTAGAGGCGTTGGCAAATGAAACTACATGGTTTGGTCCCGGAAGTAGGATTGTAATAACCACGGAAAACAAAGAGCTTTTGCAGCAACATGGTATTAACAATGCGTACCATGTTGGTTTCCCATCTAATGAAGAAGCTCTTGAGATCTTATCTAGATACTCCTTTAAGCAAAGCTTTCCACCAAATGGTTATATGGAGCTTGCAGAAACCATAACAAACCTATGTGGTAACCTTCCATTGGGTCTCCGAGTGGTGGGTTCATCTTTATTTGGGAAAGAGAAGGATGAATGGATATATGTAATGCAAAGGCTAAAAACTAATCTTAGTCGAGACATCGAGGACATACTAAGTGTCGGCTATGAAAGGTTAGATGAGAGTGATCAAATCCTATTTCTACACATTGCGGTCTTCTTCAACTATAAAGATTGTGACCTTGTGGAAGCCATGCTCGCTGAGGGTAACTTGGATGTCAAAAACTGGTTAAAAATCTTGGTAAACAAATCTCTCATAGAGATATATGCCAATGGAAAAATAGTAATGCACAAATCATATATATAAAAGTAAGGTTACACTCTCTCCTTATTGGTGGAAAAATATTTAAGGCTTTAATTTTTTTAAAAAATAAATAAATAAATGTTTATGACAATCATTCAATACAAAATTTAATTACACTATAAGTTATAATCAAATGGCAAAGAAAATGAAAGGACTTAATCATATATCATTCAACAAAATAAATAAATAAATAAATGTTTATGACAATCATTCAATACAAAATTTAATTACACTATAAGTTATAATCAAATGGCAAAGAAAATGTAAGGACTTAATCATATATCATACAACAAATTTTATAAGCCTTATTGGTGGAAAATTATTTAAAATCATATATATAAAAGTAAGGTTCCACTCTCTTTATTGTTCCATTTTGTATTTATTTTTTAAAATATAATATTTATTTTTAACCAAAAATACACATTTAATCATATACATTAATTCATACTTTAAATTCACACTTTACTACTAAAATGAAACTGAAAATTATATAAATTTCCAAAGACTATTGGTTTTCTTTATTGAATCCCAATTAAACACACTATAAATTATAATTATAACTCCTCTAATTTAATTATTTTAAAAATGTAACTTACATCACTTCTTATCATATAAATAGCCATTCTCACATCCTTCTCTACCATATCTCATATCTTTATTATTCTCTTTGTTTTTTTTTAAAGTTCTTGCATGGGGTGAAAACTCATTTAAAATATCATTGTAAGAGTTTGATTAATTATTTAGTTTAAACTTTTGTTTTCAATTTTATTTATTTTTTGTTTTTATGTATTTCTTTATGTCTTCATTGTTTTGTATATTTTTAAATGTAATACATATGTATAATAATATTTTATGGTTATAAGAAAATCAAGCTAAAGAAACCATCTTCATTATTTTACTTTGGATGTTTGTTTCTTTCTCACATATTCATGTATATTTAATTTAATTTCAAAAGTATGTAATTTTTTAACAAAATAAACTTTTTGTTATATAATTATCAAACCAATTTGTAAGACATTCTTTTAAGAATAATGATCCTTATATTTAGTTTGTGATTCAACATGTAATAATACAAAGAACATTATAATTTGTTTTAACTTTGAATTTTATACTTGATTTCCTATCTAAAAAACAATTTGATATTCCATTTTCTATCTATTATATATACTACAAGGATGAAAAATATAATTAAACCTAGAAATATAACTTAAATTAAAAGGAATATAAAAAGAGATTAAAAATAATATTATTTCTTGGGAATTTTTAAGATTT